CATGCATTTCATTTAGTCTGTAATCCGATCTCAAATGGAAGCTCGGTAGGTGGAGAGAGGTAGTAATAACTTATGTGTCTGCAGTGAAATTATACATTCCAAGATGGAAGGTCAACATAATCAGGATCTTGTGTTGAGTTTTTTTTCTTTGCTGAGAATGTAGTTTTTCTCTTAAGTATAATCACTTATCTTAAAAGAAGGTGTATGTTTCTTGGACAAGGTTTACTTCAAAAAAATTTCTTTGGACAAAGTGCTCTTGTTCATGTTACTCTACTTAAGTTACCTTCCTCTGTTTACTTCTCTCATGGATTTTGAGTTAAACATTGATAATGAGGTCTATATTTTAGTCACCAGCATGACTCTTTTTTTCTTCCCTATGTATCTAATGCATAAAGTTTTTAATGTAAACCATTATGAGGATATTGGCCATAAAATGTCTCGTGAGACTACTAAAGTTAAGTTTGTTTCACTAGTTACGATAGTCTAAGGAGGGCTTATCCATCTTAGCCAATGCTCGGCAGCTAACAACTAGTAAACCCATGTTTGGCTATAAACAACCATTTGTATCACCAGAGAAGACCTAGACACTATGAGTCTGCCGAAGAAGAGAGCTATCAGCGAATTGGTGTCATCTGGCTGCAATTTTGTAGCCATCTGATCACATGTTTTGCTATCCTCTGGATGCAATTTATTATTTTGAGATATGTTAGGAGCATTATGGTCCTTTAATCACAGCCGTCTGATTACCTATTTCGGATGCAATTTATTATTTTGAGATATGTAAAGAGCATTATGGTCCTTTATGCTATTATACCCATCTCGTTGCTCAACTGTCCCAAATATTAATTAAATTCTTACCTTATTCTACTATATAATATTCTACCCTATCCTAGTTGATTGCGAGACATGGCTAAGGAACCAAGGAGAACATAGCCTACAATAACCTGTGTCGCTCTGGCTGATTCGATGCCTGAGCTTTTCTTCTGTAAATAACTTTTCAGCAGAGTAAGAGAAACTGCAGAATTGATATCTTGCTTAGCAGTGTTGTTTGAAATCTAACATCATCAAATTTTTTTTTGCAGAGGAGCAAGAAAAAGAAAGAGAAATGGCTGAAAATGGAAAAGAGTATGGAGAAGATTAACTTTGGAAGTAAGATAATCAATTCTAAGCACCATCTAGATGATCAAGACCTGTATCTTTTCTTAATTTTCTGGCGTTGGAATGAAGAAGGATAGTTTTATTTCTTTTTTTTTTCCTCTTGAAAATGGAAGGAAACAGAAAAGAAGTGTTATAGTTTATTGATACAGCTGATGTGAAGAAGTATATAGCATGAGTCACTTAAGATTGTGCTTTAATTCTGTATGGAATGAAAGCTGAATGTTTGTTTAACCCCTCAAAACTCTCTCTGTGTTTGAATTTCTCATGAGATTAGGGTTGGAACAAATAAACTTTATTTGCTGTATTTATTTAGAAATGCATAATTATGTGAAGCAATGCTTTTTAAGTTCTTCTAATTTTACTTAAAATTACGACGGCCATAGTATTAAAAATCAGTAACAGCTTATGAAAACTGAAAAACGTTCATATTGATGGGAAGGTTTGACACCTTAACATCGGCTCAGCGCTGTAGTATGTTCCAAATGTTGGATTGTTCGTCTGTTGAAGTTATATGTGAGTTCGGTTTATAATATTGTAAAATAATTTAATCTATATCTAATGGGCGTTAGAGCTTGTAGAAAAAAAGACTTGTATTTTCTTAAAAAATTTTAACGAACATCATTGTCCGACTTCACCCTATTCTATTATTACTTCATAGGGCGATTTCTTTTGCGATAATTGAGTGTGAAGTAGGAAATAACGAGTTGTAATTAAAGAAATTATTATGTACGATAGTTCACTTTCAAGAGTTAACATGTTCTCATTAATAACTAAATATCAAGTTAAGCTAAATCAAAGTGTAGCTGTTATAATTTTTGCACTGATTGTAGATTCTTAGGGAAAAAAACAAAACATATTTATTACTATTTTTTATTTTTTCTAGTGTAAAATCCATAGTTCTTGGTTACCAAGAAAGCTTAGTCTTGTACACACCACATACATGCCATCAACAATAAACAGAAAAGGAAACCAGAAACTAACTCTTAAGAAGTTTTACTAAATCACTCCATTAAGTACTTGACTGTAAGGCTTGGTTTCACACTCGGCTGCCTCCATACTTTATTTTAGCCTCTTCGCTATCAATGGTTCCTGCATAATCCCCTCCTTCAACTGGTACCTTGTAGTCACGGTATCGCTTTGCAGCTTCCAGGTTATCAATGGTTTCTGCATAGACAGTCGGTTCTAGCCCCCTCGTGCGAGATTCTATGTAACGGGAAGTTGGACTAGTAGTTGAGTAAGGCCTCGCTGCCTCCTTCAAGTACTCAATGGCAGTTCCTATATCATTTGTTGGTTCAGAAAGTGTGGCATTTGGCGGTGAAGCCCACAATGCACGGTTTGGCCTAGACCATCCATCAGTCGTGATCATAGCTGGTTTTGTTTCGGTGTCTTTGTTTCGGTTGTGGTCATAGTAGCCAGTATTGCCAATTGGCTTGTGATTCTGACCAGGATTTTGTATCCAATATGTAGAACTCAGAGGACTAAATTTAGGTCTACTTCCTTCATTCTGAACCTTGGTAAGGATGTCATCAACTTTCTGGGGACGGTTAACGTGAACCGGACTCGAAGGTTTACCCAATTTCTCTTTGTTAACCCCGTAATCCTTGAAGGGTTCGACTTTTGTGGGGGAATTTTGCCTGTAATCACTAGCCAAAGGTGAATACACACGCTCATGAGCACGAACTGGACTCAAAGATCTATGCCATTTATCTTCGTTAACCCGGTAATCCTTGAAGGGTTCAACTTTTGTGGGGGCATTTTGCCTGTATTCACTAGCAAAAGGCGAATACACGGGCTCATGAGCATGAACTGGACTCGAAGATCTATGCCATTTCTCTTTGTTAACCCGGTAATCCTTGACTGGTTCAACTTTCGTGGGAGAGTTGTGCCTGTACTCATCAACCAGTGGCGAATACACTCGCTCAACAACTGTCTCAGCCTGTATAATATAGTATTCTGTCTTATTACCAGGAGCATGGGAGAAAATCAGTCTCTTTCTTCCGTCAGTATCTATGATCGCTGGTTGGGAAACATGATCATAGCTTGGTTTGTTCCAGTCATCTGTCTTTTGTCCTCCTCCATTACCATAGGTAGAGTACCCTCTATAGGCCAATCCTCCATTCATACTGTTTTCTTTTCTGAAACTTCTATCTCCTTATCAAGATCTTTCGGACTTTTTTCTCACTTACAGAAAATATAAAAGTTCCTTAATATAGAGAAGCTATACTCTATTTTTCTAAAACCAAACCGCGTAGGATTCACGATATTCTAACCTACACGAATAAGGATCATGTGCTATTTTTTTATCGCTACCCACTTTGAGATTCTCCTCACAGATACAAATCTGAAAGAATCATATTCTGTTCCTTCATGGAGGGTGACCTCAATTAATACCAGCTCAAGAATGCAAGATTTTTGTAAAGAGTAAAAATTTGTTCTAGGTCCAGAATATAGTACAGTCAGCTTGTATAAGAATAATACAGTAAAGTAAGAGAATAAGAATTTCTTTAAAATGATAAATAATAGAATATCGTTCATCCTATCCCTTCAAGATAAGAACAAAGGGAAAACAAGTGCAGATGAAACTGAACTCTGTTTGTATGAGTTAGAAATTAAAAGTTCAAAATTTCTAAAACTAAGGATACTTTTTATGTAATAAGACTTTAAATTTGATATTTTGAAATTATCTTAATACTCTATTCTCATATTTTGTACTTCAGATTCTGAGTTTAGCTTCTCTGATGAATTATCATATAGTGTATGTAAATTATATATCAAATAGCATAAATCTGAGTCAGTCACCAAAATTTACAGTATACCATGTTCCAGTCCCAAAACTAAAATGCTGACTGCTACTTTAGTTCTGGTACTGATCACAGATCTAGAGATTGATGGTACAGATATGGTGATCTGTTCGTGATACGGCGATTTCTTCATGATCATACAAATCGATAAGCATTATAATTAATCAGAATACTTTTGGATTAGTTCAACTTCGAAACTAATTATTTTAAAAGCTTAAGCCAATAGAAAAAAATATCACCTTAATGATTCAATAATCATCTTTACACTGTAAGAATCCTACTAAACAGTATAGATTCTCGATAGGATAGTTGATAATGCTATTTATGAAGACCTCATTTCTGTATCTAACAAAATAGATACAAAAGAATATCAACATTCTTAGATCATTGATCTTGCAGATTAATAAATTTCCACTAAATAACTATTGCATAACATGAAGAATATAAGTTTATACCTTCAGTAATTTATCAAAGTTCAAATGTTGGAATGTCAGTCAGAGGAGCATGTAATGCACGGTAGAATAATCTATCGAGAATACCCCGGTAAGGATCCTCCTTACGTTTCTTCAACAAGTAATCGATATTTCTTTCAACCTCTGACTTTATCTGCAGATATAATTGGTTTGCTTTTTCTTTGTCCTTCAACAAATCTTCTCTTCCCTCTGTTTTCATTGGCTTCCCGAACAGATAGTAAAAACGGCCAGGAACTTTAGGCAGTAGACCTGGTGGAAACAGCTGTTGATTGGCAACTTCCCCACTTGATTCATCCCTATGATAAAAAATTATATCCTTTTTCAGAATGTGTCATTTACATAACGCAACCTTGTCCAATAAGAATTATATATATATAATATCAAGATATCTCGTGAGCCCCTTTACTCATCATAGAAGAAAGAGAATGACCCATAAACAAAAAACTTGGAATTTGGAACCATAACTTTTTAACTCTACTAAAAAAAGAAACTAAACCCTCAAAAGCACTACTATTTCTTTTTTTTTTTCAAATGATCAAAATGGTTGCCAACAGCTAAAATAATAAGCAATACGACTTTCGGTGACAGCTACAAGGAGTGGTTACCTTATTTTTACAGTATCACGAGTTCTCTCTCTGATATAGTCATTCACCACGGGGATTCTCATTAGGTCATCGTGATCAAGAACCAACTGCCACAGATATTACGGGTAAATGTTAGCTGAAATATGAAGTTTAAAACGGAAAAAACAATGAGAAAATAAAATTTCTGTTTAATGCAGAAGATTGACTTAAGATATAAGATTGTTTTTACTCACTAAAAATGGAGAGGATTTGAGTCAAGGGGAAAAAACAACCAAAAATTGTCTGAACCATTATGTTGAAAAATGTGCTAGAACTGGATTCGTTTTGTTTTTAAGTAAAATTGTACGGATCGAAAAGAAAAATGAAGAAGAAAGTATCGGTAACGGAAGAGAAACATGGATATATGAAAAACCACCACAACAATGAAGAAACAATAGACTGCAATAATGAAAACCAGATTCTTATATCTATAAGCAAAACAGAATACAGAAGTGAAGGGGAAACAAACTGAAACAGAAAAATGAGTTTTTCTAATTCTAGAAATTGATATAATTTGCTTCAAGAGTTTCTTTGCACCAAAATTTTTCTAAAAAAATATGGGTAGAGCCTGACAGAGCTCAAATGAGGTATATTATTCTATCATATTTTTGTCTTCTCGAAGGTAGCTCGCTCGAAAGAGAGGTAGGACTCTGCTTAAAAGTAAAATCCTTCAATTCTGCTCAATGTGGAATGGAGAACCCTAATTGGCGGGGTACAAACTAAACATGAAAAAACAATAAAAGATGCAATTTTTTCAAGTTCTTGACTGAAAACTTCAGAAAAGCTAGGGGAGAAATGTCCAAGCTTACTTCGGCTATATCGTCTTCTCCAACAACCCCAAATGGTACAATTGTAGCGCCAAACCTTGCAGCCATTCTCACAAATTCTTGGTGGTCAGGCCAAAATAATTTATATTCTTCACCCTGAACATCAAAACATCAACTTTGTTATTAACTTTTTTCTTTCTGGTTAAGCTTCAAAATATTCCGACAAATCTTGAGTTTAAACTTTAAAAAAAAATATATCATATCAATTCATTGCTCGACTTCAAAAATTTCACTATTTGTTATAAGATACATATGCAATTATAACCATCCTCTTGTTTTTTAAGATAAGTTTCATTCGAATCTTTCACCTAATGTATTGTCATTAGCTGATCATCTAGTGCTTTGAAATTAACCTAATACAGCCAGAAATGGAAGTCATAACAGGACAAACGAGAGCAAACAGCTCTTCCGATGCTGGAAAACAAAGGCACAGTCAAACAGAGAGACATGACTAACCTTCAAATGAAGAGCCTCACGTGCACCTCCAGGATAAAGAAGAACATGTGATTTAGTTTCGAAAAGTCTGAAAAGATTGCT